TCTGTGAGACTGAACGTTGCTCTGAACTTCACCACCGTGCAGCAAGGATGAAAATCCTGAACACCATTCAGTCTGGAGAGCTCAAACTCTGTGTCAGTCCTGGAGCTCCCCTGTTGAATAAACCTAACTCAGTTGCACACAAAGCAGTGCCATGCTATGAAAAATTCAGTTGAGATTCATCATCTTTGGCTGCTTTTTCATAACCTCTCTCCTTTCCAGAAAAGATATAAATAAATAAATACCAGAACCAATCTTTGCACCCAAATTCACATGATGCACCATATCCATTAGTTATATTGTTTGACGTGGGTCCATACCATGCTGTACTGGCTCATCTCCGTGACGGGAGGAACGTTATTTATGGCATGTCTGATGGTCACAAACAGGCACATGTTCCAGCCGAGTTTTACTTCGCCTGTGTTTGGTCACAAACTGCAACGTCCCACGTTGAAGGGCATTTTCAGGGCTGAGGGTTAAACATAAGGGCAGGGTTTGCCCCTCCCACCCCTCCTGCTGGGGATTTCCAGGGTCATCTCAAGCCAGAAATTTGGCAGCGCCACATGCACAGAGTGGGAGGACAAGTGAGATCTGACACAAGCCAGCAAATCCACACTGACACTGACAAACATTTTTTGAGAGAATTCTTGCCAAACAGCAATCTGACTTTCCTTTTTCCAACCCTCCAGTACCTGCCACCTCCCACCCAGATTGCAAACCCACAGCCTCTTCAGTGACTTTAAGAGGGACTTTTTACAATTTTCAACAGTGAGCAGATCACAGCAGGGTTTGACTGCCCAGAATCTCCCTGTTCAAGAAGTTGAGAAATCATACCCAGGCCCCTCTGCCAACACAGGCCATGAGCCTCAGCTGCAGATAAACACTGGGCCCTGCATCACGTACCATTCTGTTGTGTGGGAATTGTGGAGCAGGATAGATGATCTTGGAGCTCTACGAGACTGTCCACATTTATTAAGTGAAATCACTGCCTGTTTTCTTCAGCATTAAAATTGAGCCGGAGTACAATATATTTATTGATCACTTCTAAACGCAGCTGGGATCTTCTTCCATCTCCCTGTCTCCTGTTTATCCAGGCAGCATCCAGAGCATGTACAAGCACCTGCATCCTGAGTACATGCTCACCTTGTCCAAGAGCAGGGAACACAAACTGCTGCCCAAACCTTGGCAGTCCATTTCCTGGAAGAGATGGACTTCAGGCCCAGCCCACAGCAGGAGACCAGGCAGAAAGGAACACAAAAGGGAGAAGGAGAGGTGAGCTGATGCTGGGGAAGACAGGACACATCTACTGGAGCCTGCAAGGATGTGGGACCACTGGATTGAAAGGGAGAGGCAGAAATGTGGAGAAACCTACAGAGAGGCTGATGGAGGTATCTCCACAACTTCCCTGGGGCTAAGAGTGAGGAGCAAGAACAAGGCTGGACTGAACCAGCAGCAGAAACAGATGCTGGGAGGACACCCAGCATTACAGAGGGATATAGTGAAGAAGCCCAGGCCCAGCAATGACTTCAGCTTTGTTACTGCTCCCTGACACCCTTGGGAACCACAGCAGAGAAATAAGCCCCTGGATTTATCCCCCTTTTCCAATTAGCTTCCTTCTCCCTCCTCCTCTCTCTCCACCCTGCCAGAATCAATCCTCGTCCTGGCATTTTAAAGGGCAATGTGCACGTTTTATGGCTGTCCCCTATAAAACCATTCTACATGATAACACATCCAGCCCTTTATTAGGGACGTTTGGCAAGTTTATTGGCCAGACATTTTTCTGCACTGACAGATGAGGTCCTGCCATCACTTCTTGGGCAGTCAGGGCCCTCTCCCGCCTCCTCTCCCAAAGGAGCAGACACAACCCTCCAGCTTCCCTACCAGTTCCATGCATGCAGCTGAGGTGCTAGGCTTGCAGGTTTGGGTTGCCAGGGGTGGAAGCAGGGCTGTCCATCTGTCTTTAATTACAGCTGCATCTACCAAAGAGTCATTAACTCTTTAGAGCCATGCAAATAGTGAAGGAGTTTATGTGAGAAAAAAACTGGTAGGTATTGAGATCTATCTAGAGATGAATGATGAATGAGTGAAAAGCTTATGGGGGATAATTAAGGGACAGGCTAATATGAGTGACAACATTGTGGGTATTGGCTATGACAGGCTGCCTAATCAGGAGGAAGAAGTTGATGAAGCCTTCTACAAACAGCTGAAAGTAGCCTCATGATTAGAGGCACTGGCTCTCATGGGACTTCAGCCACTCTGATATTCATTGAAAGAGCAACGCTACCAAGCACAGACAGTTCAGGAGGTTCCTACAGTGCATGGAGTATAACTTTCTGGCACAGGTGGTGGAGAAGTCAGTGAGGAGAGGTGTGCTACTAGACCTTGTTCTTGTAAACAAGAAAGGACTGGTCGGGAATGTGTAGTCTGGAGGGAGCCTTGGACGCAGCGACACAGTGAGAAAGTGGAGTTCAGGATCCTACATGGAAGAAACAAGGTGGTAAGTAGGATTGCAAACCTGGAGTTCAGGAAAGCCAACTCTGACCTCATCAAGGACTTGCTTGGAGGCATCCCATGGATTAGAATATTGAAATGAAAGGGGCCCCAAGGGAATTGGTTGACATTCAAGCACCACATCTTCCAAGCTCATGATGAGTGCATCCCAAAGAGTACGAAAGAGTAAGAAAGCAGGCAAAGGTGGCAGGAGATATGCAAGCAGATCATGGATAAATTTAAATGGAAAAAGAAGGTCTATGAAATATCTATGGAATATGGAAAAGGAGACTGGCCAAAGTCTCCTTTGTCCTCCAAAGAGGAACAAAGGAACATTTGTGAGGGCATGCAGGAATGCAACGAAGAAGGCTAAGGTCCTCTTGGAATTAAATCTGAAGAAGGAGGCTAGGAATAACAAGAAAGACTTCTCAAAGCATGTCAGTAGCAAAAGGAGGACTAGGGAAAATGTGGGTCCACTGAAATAGGTGAGTGTTCTAGTAACAGGGGATGCTGAGGAGGCAGAGACTGAACACCTTCTTTGCTTCAGTTTTTACTACTAAGACTGCTGAGGAATTGCAGACCCTGAAGATAAGAGAGTCTGTGGAATGGAAGACTTCCCCTTAGTCGAGGATGATATGATCTGGGCAAACTTGACACACACGAATCCATATGTCCTAATAGGATGCACCCTCAAGTGCTAAGGGAACCAGCAGAATTGATTTCCAAGTTGCCTTCTGTCTTCTTCAAAAGATAATGGAGAATGGGGGAGGTACCTGAGGACTGGAGGAAAGCCAACATCATTCCAGTCTTCAAAAAGGGCAAGAAGGCCAGTGACAAGTCACAGGCCAGCCAGTCTTACTTTCATCCTCAGGAAGGTGGTGGAACAGCTTATTTTGAGTGTATGTCTCAGCACGCCCAAGAGAAGAAGGTTATCAAGAGTAGTCAGCATGGATTCACTAAGGGGCAGAGCTCAGCATATTCAGGTCGGTGGCAAGAGTCCAGTTGGAGGCCTGTAACTAGTGGTGTTCCCCAGGGGTCAGTGCTGAGCCAGGTCTTTTTCAACACCAATGAGCTGGATGACGTGGAGATAGTCCGCCCTCAGCTAGTTTGCTGATGATACAAAGCTGGGAGAAGTGCTTGACACACCAGAAGGCTGTGCTGCCATTCAGCAAGACCTGAATGTACTAGAAACCATATGAGGTTCAGAACGGACAATTGCAGAGTCTGACACCCAGGGAGGAATAACCACATGTGTCAGTACAGGTTAGGGGCTGACCTGCTGGAGAGGAGCTCTGCAGAGAAGGACCTGGGCATCCTGAAGGGCAACAGGTTGATCACGAGCTAGCAGTGTGCCCTTGCAGCCAAGAAGGTCAGTGGTATTCTGGGGTGCATTAACGAGTGTGGCCAGCAAGCAGAGGGAAGTGATCTTTCCCCTCTCTATCCTGGTGAGGCCACACCTTGGAGCACTGTGCCCAGTTCTGGGCTCCCCAGTTCAAGATGGGGAACTACTGCAGAGTCCAGTGGAGGGACACTGAGATGGCTGTGGGTCTAGAGCATCTCCTGTATAAGGATCAGATGAGAGACCTGGGGCTGCTCAGCCTGGACAAGAGGGGGGAATCTCATCAATGCTTGTAAGTATCTACAGGCAGGCGTCACATGGATAGGGCTGGTGCTCAGTGACAGGACAAGGAGCAGCGGGCACAGACTGAAACACAGGAAGTTCTGTATGAACATGAGGAAAAACGTCTTCATTGTTAGAGTGACTAGGACACAGGCTGCCCAGAGAAGTTGTGGACTCTTCTTCTCTGGAGTCACTCAAAACTCGCCTGGATGCTTTCCTGTGCTACCTGTTCTATCAGACCTGCTTTAGCAAGGTGTTGGACACAACACACAAACTAGCCTTCTGTTTTATGGCCTCACAGCCATCCAGTGTCGAGTGGAAGGGTTAGCAGAGGTGTAGTGAGGGATCAGAGATTAACAGTGGAGACTAAAATTTATCTCGGTCCTTACTGAGCATCACTGTACCACACTTCAGAGGTCTGCCATAGGGATGGGTGAGGTTCCTGAGGAGTGGCTGAGGCGAGCGCCCAAAGCTGTGATGGGGAGGGTGAGTAGCAGCAAACACTCTGCATCACCTTTCGGGTGTTTCACATGCACTTTTCACACCAACACGGAGGTGGCTCAGGCTTGGATGTGATAACCATCCTGCAGGGAGCTCCCACTGAGCCTTCCTGCCCTGACCCTTTGTCACCATGAGCTCTCCTGTACCACTGGCAGTGGTGGGTCCCATTCACCAGCCCCTGCCCACCATTGGTTAACGTGTCACATTCCTGGGCTGTGTTATTCTTAAGTACTGTAAATCTCTCACTATTATTCTCCCACTTGATATAGTGAGCTGTGTCATTTTGAAAGGAAATACATAACAGTATATTAAAGAAATCATGGATCTCCTCATTCATGTTTAAAACAAATTTATTACAATGTAAGAAACCCTGAATAGCATGAATTTATTATAATGATTTAAGGCTCCTGGCACTTGAGTTAAAAATGTCTCTCAATAAATAACTTTCCCTTGAAAACACAGCAAATTAATATAGTTTACCATTTCCAAAGTTATATAAATCCAAGAGGCTTAAATCAACAGTATGCTGGATAAGATTACTGTTGCTCAGCCACAGCCTGATATCACAGCTCAGAAGCATGGAAAGAGTAGTAAAAAGTGGATGGCTTTTTTTTTTCTTTTGGTCATCTTTCTCTCCTTTCCACCACCCTAGGCTATGTCTGTTCTGTGAATGTCAGACTGATGTGAAATGGATGAAAGCCGCACTGGCCTTTGCACACAGGTATCATTAAAACAGCACAGACACTGCCACCAGACCCAACCAACACCACGTGGATATTTCCCCAAAGTGCCTCCTGCAGGCAAGGCAGCAGTGCTTAATTTGCCTGTGGACCCAGGGTATCTCTGGACAGGCTGCTGCAGCTCTCATGCCCAGCGAACCCCGGGCTCTGTGCCCAAGGACAAGAGCCCTTGCTCATAAATGGAAAGCAGGGTTTTGCCTCTAAAAGGACCTTCCTCGGCAGACCAACTTGCAGACAGCAAGAAGAGCTCAGTCAACACTTTAGCACCCTGGGAGCCCTTTCCATTCAGTCACCAGCAAGGACTTCAGTAGCTTTTCATTTTATGAAGGTCCAATTTTTTTTTCCTTTGCTGTCAAAGTGTCAATTTTTTCCACAACATGGCTGATGACTATTTTTTTTAAACAAAGTACAGTACCAGTGACATTCTGACAGTGTCAGTACAGCCAGAGCACACCCACCTGAGCTTTTCAACGTGGGAAGTTAGAGCTGTTAAGAGCCAGATTGACAGCCTTGGTAAATTCAAGCCCTCTGTACAGCAGACGATGAGAAGCTATTAGATACAGACAAGGCTTTCAGGTCACCCAGTCCATCTCCCATCCCACCTTTTAATTGTCTCTCTCACCCAAGCTATAAATATCTGACTCTTCTCATCTTGTTTCCTCATTATGTCAATTCCAGCAGTCCCTGATCATTTTTATTACTCCTCACTGAAATCCCTCCAATCTGCCAGTAAACTCTGTGGTAATGAGATCCCTGTGCTGAAGGCACTCGTGCAAATACAGGGGCACCAGATCCACTGACAAGGAGCCGTTTCCTGTGCAATTTAGAGGTGTCATCGCCTCCTCACCTGCAGATCCAAAGTCTTCTTGTCTGTTTGTGTTGCTATCAAGTATCATCACCTCCTGCTTTGTTCACTCCTCCCCTTCAGAAGGTTTCTGCAGTCTGGCTTTCCCCATTGCCACTAAGCAGTCTTTCAGATTGTTTTCTTGGTGGCTGAGTTCACAGATGCAAAGCCCAACTTTACCTTCCACTCTAAATTGAATCCTACGGTTTTTTTTCTGCTTAGTATTTCTGCTTTACATTATTTCTTCCTCCTCAACTCTTCTAAATATAACAGAGTCTCCTGGTTTCACTTTCAGACTTTCTGCTTCCAAGAAAGATCTTTAGTGCAATGCGACCAGGTACCCAGGCAACACCTCCAAACAAGGCTCTTGGAAGTGTCAAAATGGAAATACTGTAGAGAATGAGGCCACTTCATCCCCATTCACAGCCATGGTAACTGGAATTCGGCATTCTGCTATGGTGAAAACCTTTCCAGGTGCATAAATGTTGCAGAACATTAAAAAACAGGCACAGGAAAACAAACACTATGGCAGGACGCTCAAAGGAGCTCAGGTTGCCAAAGAAGGCTGAGCAGGGGCTGAAGAAAAATGCCTATGGGGGTACTTGCTGTCTGCTAACAGTAGAACTGCAGTCCTGCTTCTGTAGGCACAAGTAGTTTCTCCCACTGGAAACTAAAAGTAGGCAAATTCAACCTCAAAATAATGCAGTTTCATATCAGATAATTAAACACTGTGAGGCTGTGACACGGTGCTTTTAAAACGCCAGTGAAAATACCTCACAGACATCTTCTGTGTCTGTGAAGCCAGCTCACCGTTTCCTTCCTTATCAGCCTTAAAGGAGAAGCGGGCTTCCCATGTTGCCCTTGATGCTCGTGGCACTCCTCATGTGCCCATGTCCAGACATAACAAGGGCACTAATCACCTCCTCTCTTCAGTGCTTTAAGGTAGTTGCAAAGAAGCTATCAAGAAACACAACTTTTCCGGACTTCTTGCTTCCCTCTCTCTGCAGAGATCAGAAAGATCAACGTTATGTTCTGAGGCTGGTTATTGAATGCTATGAATGAAGTGAGTTTTTGAGGTTTGTTTGGTTTTTCATATGTTCAGAAGGACTCCAACAGCAAAGAAACAAGGGATTCAAGGCTGACTCTGTAGCCCATAGATTGGTTTGTGTGCTGGAGCTATCTTGGCATCTCTCACCTCACCAGGGCCTCATCTGTCAGTGACATCCAAGTTTCTCCACTTTACTTTCCGAAAGCCTGATATGACCCCCTTGGGCCTGAAAATACATAAGGTTTGAGTCTCAGCTTCTGTTAAATGAGAGCATGCACGGGAAGGCAAAAGTGGCTTTTCCAAGCTGGGAATCAAACACCATTCCTCAGACAAGCTGTTGTTGCTGTTGGGACACAACAGCAATCCCTGTCAACAACTGTAGAAATTGTCATTAGCCAATTGTAACCAGGCCAAGTTGCGTTTCTTGCTATTTTTTTTAGGGGACTTCTGCTTCTAGACACCCTCCACAAGCACCACAGTGAAAACCCTGCTACAGCCATGACAAAGAGCCTCAAGGTAGCTGCATGGTGCCACATTACAGTGAAACATTTATTGTCACCATGAGCAGTTCAGACTTAAGAGATGTAGGGAGCAACCGTGTATTAGGAAAGCATTTTCCAGAGGACAGACATCCAGTCAGAGCAAACTTCAGTGATTCTGTTCTGAATGAGGTTTAAATCACCTCATTCAATATTCTGTGTTGTCTTATGTAGCAGCACAGTTATGTAAATTTATAAATCATACACTAATTAGCACACAATTTCATAAATTTGGTTACAGTGAAAAAGGAGGTTACTAACTAACCAGGCTGTGCTCTCTCACCCTCAGACGGTACAAACTGAAACACCACTGGAGGTTGTATTTCAAAAGATCTCTGTTGCAACTTTTGGAGTTTAACCCTGGGCTCATGTGTGCTTTCAAGGGATACTTTTCGATATCTCAGGCTCAGTCTCTTTCAAGCATAGCTAAGCCCTTTCCTCTCCTTCCTTAGCACCAAACCTCCACAGCTCAGTGGATCACTGCAAATTTTGTTTTTCTTGTTTCTCCCTTATTCAGATTCTTGTTATATCCACTGTCACATTCTTCTGTAATCTAATTTCACACCACCATTGCTGCTAGCAATGAAATTCAGTCCATGCCTTGTTTATATCCAGGTTTTACTCTCCTACTCTCTGTGTGGTCCCTCTGACAAGCTTTTCTATAGGGGAGCAGACAAAGCTAGGTCATTTCCTCCTTTCCTTATTTACCATTCATCCTTTGGACAGTAGCTCCCCAGATGCAGGAACATGATCTGGAAAAGGATAAGGGGCACAGGCTTCAGTTGGGAACCAGTGGTGGAAGACATTTCTCCCTCATCAACTTATAATCATTTATCAACTTCTCTCCACCTTCAGAGCTGGCTTCTCTCATCCTTTGGTTCAGTTCTCTCCCTGTTATTCTTGTCCTTTCTTGTCCTTATCTCCATCCTTTCTTTCTTACTTTCTAACTCCTTTCTGTCCCAGTGCATGCTGCTGGCTTCCCACTTCTCTCTTTTTGAGATCTGTCCCCTAGACTTCAAGCTCTGAAAGAAGTCTTGCTCATTTTCACAGCAATATCCACGTCCTGGACAGAAAGAGAGGGCTCATTGGGTTTAGCAAGCTGATGAAGACTCAGAATACACACAATATGATGGTGTGGAAAGTGGAACACATTATCAATGACAGTTACTACATCTGAGTCGGACAAAAGACACCTGAAAATCATTCAAATAAACAGAAGTCTTTAAGATTAAATGAAATCCCCAGATAATTTATTAGATTAAGACCTCACATACATTTATAAATATACGTTCAAGATGGTGTTCAACAGTGAGACTTCAGAGGCTACAAGAGGAAAGCGCATGATTGCTGCAGGTCCACCACGTGCAAGGTGCACGAAAGCAACGAGCACACAAACATGCGCAGTGTACATGCACAAGCCACCTGGGAAGAACACAAAATGAAGGTGTGGGCAGCAGCCTTGGCAGGAGCCACGTTCCTCCACAAACTCTCAGGCAGAACACAGCCCAGCGCGCAGCTGAAGCGTGTTAACTGGAAACACTCTGGACAAACATTCTGTGGCTGGACTATCTCCCCAGCGGCAGCTTCCTAATATAGGAGCTTAAAAGTAAAAGGACACTGTCAAGTGATTGCTTTTGCTAGTTTAATTTTAGCATTTCCTCTACTGTTTTAGCAGATGGAAAACAATTCCCCTCCCAGTCCCAAATACTGATTTTGTCCTTTCCTATTTGACAATCATTGATTTTTTTTCTAAGGCTATAAATGTTTTAATAACTTCAACTTTGTAGTGCCTCATGGCAAAATATCTTTGCTTGCACTGACTGCTAAACACTATTCCTAATGTACTGCTGATAACTAGAGCAAGAACCAGCATTATAAAAAATGATTTTTCACAGGGTCTGCCAAATTAATAGCTTTTGCTTCTCGGTTCATATCTCACAGACAGTTAAAACATGCAGGTTTTCATCCATCAGATATTTCAACTATCTTAATTTGAGAATTCTTGCCTACATAAAGGTATGCCTCCCGTGTAGCTCTGACTGATGGACAGCACCTTGAGTGTAGAACCTGCAACCCTGACAATGTCACTTTAAAAAGAGCTACTACCAAAATATAGATTTGAGTCAAAAGTCACCATCAGAATTAGAACTGTTAATGGACAAAATGGATCATAAGGAATCCTAAAGCAGCTTTATACCAGCACCCACAAAGAACCAAAGAACATAATGCTCCCATGCAGTGTTCTCAACTGGGTACACAAAGGCACCTTTTAAGAGATCTACTTCTATATTTTGCTTTTTTGAAAGGTCAGTTAGCACTTATTAGAAAAGGCAATCAAAGTTTCAGTCAAAGTGGAAAAGAGAAGAGAAGCAATTGGACTGAAATCAGAGAACTGTTTCTTTACACATGCCAAACCTGAACAAAACCAAAACAAACTGCACACACAGAAATCCCCAAACACTAAGATCTACGTGTCGGTCATAGCTTTCATGGTTTTCTATGCTTTTCCTGTTGCTCCTTGTACATTTTTCTCTGCCTTCCCCATCGTTTCCCTGCCTTCCTAAAGAAGCAGGCTGCTCGTCCAGCAGAATCATGCTGAGTGAGAAAATCTATTGCCCCAACTGCTGTACTTGTGTCAGAGCACCTATTACGTCTTTGGGGCTTTAACCACAAACCTGTGCCTTCACAGGTCGAGGCAGAAGAACTAGGGGGGCACTCAACAGCAGATGGGTATATTAGAAAGAACTCACTGTCTCACTGACAGCAGGACAGACCAAGCAGGGTCTTTCTACAGTAGTCATTTTCTGGTCCAGTAATGCTGCTTCCCTCCTGTAAACTCCTCCGAGCAGCCTTTAAAATCCTGCTGGGATGCATGGAAAAGATATCACCTAATTTGTGATTAAGACAGATCCTGAGTGAAACAACTCAGAATTATGGTTCATCTCCTCCTTCATTCTCCTTTTATTTCATTGCTATAAAAGCAGGACGCTGCCAGCGGGTCTGTGCTCGATGCTCTGCATAGTGCATGCTCTCATCGGAGGGGCACAGTGGACCTCATTGCTGAGCCTTGCTAGCTCCTTGCAGAGCACAGGAGCACCAAGCACTGCACGGGAGCACATTGGAGGCAGGGAGCAGTGACACCCTAAGGATCAGGCCAGCAACCCGCTGCCATTAAGATCAGCACGGTTACCTAAAAAGACTGTCAAAAAAACCGCACTGGCCCACGAAGCAGTGTTTGGGAGCAAATGGTCTAGAACTTGCCCATATTGGCTCAATTCTACCTTTCCCTCGCTGCAATTTTACTGCGCAAAATGAGTATTTTAGCCTCATATTTCTAGGAACACATGCCGGTGGCTACTGTTACAATAAAATATGAACACAGCATTGTGGAGAAAATGACCATTAATCCTGTAATCTGCAGTCATTTTTACCAATTCTGCACATTTCTTTAAATAACCAAGTACATGCAGTAGATGGAAGTGCATTTAAATAAACTGAAATAGATATAGCATGAATAATTAAAGCCGGCAGGGAAATGTGCATTGCAAGCTGCTGGTGGAAATAATTACTGATTTGTCTTATTTACAATGGAGCCTGGATACCGGATCAAAATAGTGCAAGTTAGTGAAAATGTCTTAAGACTGTTCTTACCCTACCACTGCTATAAATTTCATCTTGAGAAGTACATCACATAGGTTTTGGACCACTACAACATCTGACCGTGTACTGCTATTTCAGGGTTAGGTCTCCCAGTACACAAACTATGTCAAATAGCACTGATTTAAAGAGGAATGTATTTCAAATGGATGCCTAAGACATCAACCTGCAACATCATGTGTTCATATTATTAGACGCTGTATAGTTGAGCTTATGATATAACCCCTAAAAATGCAGCATGTTAAATACCAGAATGCTGAAGGGAAAAGTAGATCATAAAATCATTGACAAAAGTAGTAAAGTGCTTGTACCTTTGTAATACACCAGGTTTTAAACAGACTTGTTTAATTAGAAAATAATCTACTTTGAACATTGTGGCTCTTGAATGTTAGGCAGTTTTTGCAAACTGCTTTAGAGCGAAAAATCGATAATGAAATACACTTCTGATATGAGGCTGGAAAAACTGTGAATTCAATCTATTAGAAAATGTTGTAGATGAAAAAAATTCTATTTTCGAATGATTACTTGGCACATGAAAGATTCAAAAAAAAAATAAAAAAAAATCTTAACGCTTTCTGATTGGTGTATCCCTAAAATATCCTTGCAGCATGATTACTAAATCCAAAACGAAACTAGATGCTAATTAGCTGTGTTTTAGAAGAAGGAAGACAATCTGTTGTTGCTCAAATAATTTAAAAATGGTACTTAAAAACAAACAAATCAGAAATAAAAAGGTACTACAAATTCTATAAAAGGGGAGTAGACCAAAGAGCAGTGTCAAATGAAGAAAATCTCCTCCAGCAGCCGTCTCTCTTCTAACTCTCCTGCTCTGCTTCTGGAATCACGAGGGGACTGGCACCAAGATGACGACCTGTGATTCACACGACCAGGCATGTGCATTTTGTTCTTCTCGTAGGATTCTCTGTAGTGGTGTCCTGGGGCAGATATTGGACTCATAGCTTGAACCATGTCAAGAAGAGAAGCTTCATACCTACAGAAACACACAAAGAAATTGAAGATCCATTAAGCATCACATCATCATGTAGGAATTGAATTCCACCTTTCCACCTTCACCATTCAAAGTAGATCTACACTTGTCTGATGGGGTCCATTAGCCCAGAATGAGTTCTGTTATCTAAGTTCCTGTGAGGAATACCAACACAGAGGTGGTGAAAAAGAGGTGAGCAAAGCATGGGTTCTTGGGTTATTTTAAGCTATTTCATCAGCTTTTCCATTTGATGTGTGTAATGTCTTAGTCACACTCCGGAGATTGAGGACTGAAGTCAGAGATATGACAGCCAAGTACACAGAACAGGTACAAGGCGGACCCACACAGGTAATGGTAAAGTGACTTATATGCATGCTGCACTTTTTTGAATAGACCTCTACACTTGATTTAGTTTCCTGGGGATTTGAAAACAGCAGGAGACTTTATTATTATTGCCACAAACTACACGTGCTTCCAGTAAATCTCTATGCACTATATGGAGTCTGTCTGGTGGAAGCACTGAAGGAATATAATCTAAACAAGGCAATACAAAATCAACACTTCAGGCACTATGAGAGGCAAAGGTGCTAGACATTACTCAGGCTGTCCTTTAAGTGTGAGTACAGATGTGGGGGAAGGTTGCAAGCCACTGTTAGCTAGTAACACACACTGAATAATGGCAGTTGCTTTAAACAGGCTTCCTATTAATATTCACACAAGACAAGACCTGATCTAAATACCAGCACAGGATTGATCATTACAATATATTTTCTCCTGTCCAAACCTAAATGTCTTAAAGAATACTGGTTCCACTGCCTCCCTGGGAGCCTGTTCTCTAATATAAGAGATATCACTCAAGAGTTTTACTCCAAAATCACTTTCATTCCATTTTATTGTTAGCACTGACCTGTCTGATGTTGCCAATGCTGAAATAATTCACACACTCAATAACTTACACACAGAGAACATTATTCACAGCACCCAACCTAAGGTACGAGTGTAACTGGTTGGTCCCCATAAGGTCCCTGCCTTGTAAGCAGAAAGACTTCATCTATAGTGTGAGTAAACATCTCAAGCTGTTTCCTGCTTTGAGTTGCAGAGGAGGAGACTGAGAAGACTATGAAACTAAATCAGCCAGCTGGGATTCTTAAGTAAAAATATTCTCCAGTGTGAATACAGTTTGCTGAAGTGAAAGATTAGCAGAGGTCAATGGAATTCCCAGAGGCAGAGCACAACTAATGTTGTCCAGCGCTGTCATGCGCAGCAGGAGCTAAAGTGACTCTCTTCCCTGAACTAACAAAGCCGTGTGAAATATCTCTCATTAGCTCCAGCAGTGAGAGTTACATGCCAACCACAGTCAGAAAGCTGACCATGACAAGCTAACCTAAGATACTGAGACACTTAGAGAATTAACTATGGCACTGATAGGTTAATACCGACGTTAATGGCAATCGTTAGTTATGCTCTTATTGCTTCAAAAAGTCAACTCTTTCATTTCCTTTAATATTTATTGTTCCTTCCAATTTGATGGTGGTCATCATTCCTAATACCACCTGACTCAGTATAACTGCATCTCAGTGCTCTCTCTTCTATTTAACAGTCTGCATTAGTTTCCTCCAGACATACTAGCTTATATTTCATCCAATCAGAAACTCACTTCATAAAATTCTTTCACATTTTGCACTTGTCTACATGACTTTCTATCATCTATCTGTCCAAATCACTCCTAATAGCCAGAAATGAGTGACTCAAAACAAAAAATTGAGCTTTCATTTTGTTTCAAATGGACTGTGCAAACAGCTAACCTTGCTCCAACGTGATGCCTTACAGCTACTCTAGCCAAGAACTTCAGAAGAACATAGGTAGCCATGCTAAACCACTGCATACATGCCTGCTGTTCGTATTAGCATTCAGAAAGTATCTTCTAAAAACTTAAAGATATGTATAATGGAACAAGCCCTACTGCTAGTGAAAACTAGCACACAGCCATATGAGACTTTCCATGCAGAAAACGTTTTGGAATGAGTCTATACAGATAGACACAGATGCTTTGAACCCAAAGAAAACCAGTTAACACATACATTGGTTTCATTAGCCACACCTAAAACTTTTTAGATTAATCTAGTCTAGCATACAAATGCTTATCTCCTCTGACTGTAGTGCTATCATAAAATTTCAATTTCTCCGGCAGCCACATTTAATCACAGATTAGGTAGGGAGAAACCAAACCAGCCAGTGCATTTATAGTAAACGTGCAGGCCCTAGATTTCAGCAGTACCTTGGAGTTCATTTCTTCTGCAAGTTTATCTAAGTTTTACAGCATTTCTGCTATCAGGAAGGCTAAATGATTTGGCAGATTACAAGAGCAGCAAATAGCGAAGATTATGTAAAAGACCAGGTGTTGTAAATCAGTCTATTTGACACCACAGTTATATATGCAATAAAGTGAATGAACTCTGCTAACAGAGCTCTATCTGATAAAGAGAATGCTCCTTGCAGGTATTTAGTGTTTAATCCAATGATAATGGCTTGCCCTAGTTTGTCTAGGCAACATCAGACAGCATCTGGCTGGAGGCAACTGACTAGACCTAGAATGGTTTGAAGCTTGCAAAGACAATTTTCTCTCTGTTTATTTGTATCCAAACATTTAAAGAGACACAGCCTGAATGCTCAACTCCTGAAATGAAACTTTCTCTAAAAACTGCATGTGCATTCCTTCCATGATCTGAATAAATGAGCAAGTAAAAACGGATTAAGATCACGCTTTGTAGCATCAGTGAAGTCAAAGCTGCAGCATCAGGCACCTAAAGTCAGAATGTTTCAAACATAAAGACTGCTCTGGCAAACTTGGCTTGTGAATACTGAGTGTTTTTTTTTTTATGGAAATTAACAGCCAAGAGTGTCCCAGTGCTGTTCATGCTTCCCAAATTGGAAAAAATCCCGTATGTTTTGCAGAAGTACCAGCATCAGACATTAAGTTAGATACTGAAATTCCTCATGTATGGACGCTCAGCCAAACAACGAAATGTCCTATCAGTGGACATAGACAGTTACGTACATTTTATTTTATGGGTTTTGCCCTTTTAGCAGCATGGAAATGAGACACGCAACTGTCCCTTCGAAAACAGTGATAATTCAGTCTGCCTTTACCCTTTTGCTACATTTTTTAGTTTACTGGAAAGTCAGCAAGTACATCATAACCGACTGGAAAACATCTTTTCTAAGCCTGGCTTTGGCATTTTCCCCATGCACATTTTTTCATGTAATTGTCATGAACCTGAAAATTTATGTGTTTCATGATGGGATAATAAAGTTTGTGCAAGTCTGAAAGCTTGGGCTAGAAGTCATGTAGCTGCTAGGCTTTGGAGAAAATAGGCCTAAGCAGTCTTCATAAATTCCACCAGGAGAGGGAACATGATCAGTGGATGTACAAAGCGTAATGAAGGCAGGACCACACAAAGAGGGCAGCAACAGATGCAAAGAGAACAGACCAAGGTAAGTAGAGAAGCTCTTCTCACAGTGAAGAAAATTGGCCTTTCTTTTTAATGTACAAAGTAAAACCCCAAATAAAGCTCCATGCAGAGCAGCATGGAGATTCCAAATCTGTCTGAGAGACAGGTAACAAGGATCAACCCATTGTAGCTGTCTCAGTGCGGCGCTGTGTCCTGGTCAGGCACTGCACAGCACGATTACAGTACTCTCCTAATCTCCTGTGTACAATGAATACAGATTTCTGGAAATTTGTCTCCTCAGCTGCTAAAGTGCTTGAGGAAATTATACTGCAAACTTTCAGTATTAGCTTCTAATTAAGTCGGTATCTAGTAAAGTTCTCAAACACTCAATGTCCAAGAGTTTTGTAGTCCATCGCTACGGTAACAAGAAACAGCAGACAGTACTGTGATTCAGAGCAGCTCTCTGAATGTCCCGGTTTTAAAGAAGAAAATAGTATAAAAATAAACACACTCCACTGCATTTCTGTTTCACTGCTTGTGCAGCAGGGAGACAGCACTCTGAGCATCCACAGGTGCATCGTCCTTTGTGCCGTGCTTCAGACCGGAATGGGAAGGAAAGCGCGCGCATCTTTATGACAAAAGCAAATGTGGCTGTTGCTCTGGGAACCATAAGACCACTTATTCCTAGGATGGTTGCTGAGAAATCACCTGAAATCATTTAGCATTCTACTTAAAAAAAACACGGGGCGACCAGAGGCAGCGGTCCTGCAATGTATGGTACCTACAAAATGGTCAGTTGATGCTGAATGATGCACGGAACTCAGCTGATGATCAGAATATCAGAGAAAATGGTGTTTTTGAAGGGAACATCAGCACATATTGATATCAACCACCTGAACAGAGATGTTTGTTCATTTGTTTAGACTTTCAGGATATGTCACTGAATTTTTAATATTTCTCTATTTCCCATTGCTGGTAAAATATATTTCTTACATGCTGCACAATTTTTAAATCACTCTATTGTATTTCCACTTTGTGCGGTCCCATTTAACTAATAATATCATTCCCTCCTTCCTGTAAAAACAGCACAACACCAAACAAGCTTGATATTTGGAGGAGCAGGAGTTTCCCCATGAGGCAAAATAACTAAACTTATTAGAGTCATAAATACTCCGGCAGTGAGATATATGTATATTTCTTCAAACAAGCACTGTCAGATATTATTTGATCACTATGTTCAGAGATATCTTTTCATTTACAGTCTCTGAAAATTTATTCTTCAACCATAAATGTGTACAAAACACAGAATGTCTCTTCTGCAAGGTGATGGCATTTCAACAAAGCATACTGGCAATACGGTTTTGGAGATTAGTAGCTATATAGGCTTACTTTATTTAACTATATATACCAGAGGAAATAAAAAGGTTTATTTTTATACTACTGCTTATATTTTCAACATAAAGTTCAAAGTGATTTACTAATGTTACATGAATTGCCTTTGAATTACGGTACAGTATTGTGCCCAAGTACAAAGCCCAACACTATTTTGTA